TTATGAATCTGCATATTATACGTATGGTTTTGAATATTGTAATTGAATTCCTCTATTTTTTTACGGTTGCAATAGGATATTACCACAGCCCACTTTTGGTTGCCACATGTTAGCACCACGAAAATTTTATATTGTCGCAATAGTTTCTCGCTACAAACAGTTCACCCGTTGTGATATCTATTTATCACCACCAAAACTAGTATGTTGCAATTTCCTGTTACGACAACTAGAATATTTGTTGCCATAACTTAATGCCACAAGTGTAGCGGTTCGTAGCAAAATGCCTAATGCCACGAAAGCAAGGATTGTTGCCATATTTTATTGCAACAATTGACTATTGCCACGGAAGAGTATGCACCACGAAACAAACATCGTTGGCATAGGGTGTTGCCACAAATGTCTATCGCCACGAGCTACTAGTCGCCATGATTTGTTACATGTTGCATTAAACCTATCTCCACAAAGCAAATTGTGGCATCAGGTGAGTGTTGCCACGGGAAAACATGTGGCAACTTCCCACATGGTTGTTGCAATAGTACACTTTATTGCCACAATTGCTTTTTTGTGGCAATAACCTATTACCATGTGTCCAGTCGCAACGGGTGGCAAAGAATGTTGTTTCGTGGCAATAGGTACTTATCGCCACAAATTAGCATGTATTGCAACGAACGATTTTGTTGCAATAGGCCCGAATCCTTGTAGTGTCATGGTGATGCATAGCAACGAGACGGGAGAGTGTTGTCTACGTACCCTCGTAGACCAACAGCGGAAGCGTTATGACAATGCGGTTGATGTAGTCGTACGTCTTCACGGCCCGACCGATCAAGCACCGAAATTATGGCACCTCCGAGTTCTATCACACGTTCAGCTCGATGACGATCCCCGGACTCCGATCCAGCAAAGTGTCGGGGAAGAGTTCCGTTAGCACGACGGCGTGGTGACGATCTTGATGTTCTACCGCCGCAGGGCTTCGCCTAAGCACCGCTACAATATTATCGAGGATTATGGTGGAGGGGGGCACCGCACACGGCTAAGAGAACGATCACGAAGATCAACTTGTGTGTCTAGAGGTGCCCCCTGCCCCCGTATATAAAGGAGCAAGGGGGGAGGCCGGACGGCCCTTGGGGCGCGCCAAGGAGGGGGGAGTCCTCCTAGTAGGAGTAGGACTCCCCTTTCCTAGTCCAACTAGGAAGAGAGAAGGGGGAAGGAAAGAGAGGGAGAGGGAGAGGGAAAGAGGGGCCGCGCCCCCCTCCCCTAGTCCAATTCGAACTCCCCATGGGAGGGGGCGCGCCACCTCCTGGGCTGCTGCTCTCTCTCTCTCCTCAGGCCCACTAAGGCCCAATACTTCCCCGGGGGGTTCCGGTAACCCTTCCGGCACTCCGGTTTTCTCCGAAATCACCCGGAACACTTCCGGTGTCCGAATATAGCCGTCCAATATATCGATCTTTATGTCTCGACCATTTAGAGACTCCTCGTCATGTCCGTGATCAAATCCGGGACTCCGAACAATATTCGATACATCAAAATATATAAACTCATAATGAAACTGTCATCGTAACGTTAAGCGTGCGGACCCTACGGGTTCGAGAACAATGTAGACATGACCGAGACACGTCTCCGGTCAATAACCAATAGCGGAACCTGGATGCTCATATTGGCTCCTACATATTCTACGAAGATCTTTATCGGTCAGACCGCATAACAACATACCTTGTTCCCTTTGTCATCGCTATGTTACTTGCCCGAGATTCGATCGTCGGTATCTCAATACCTAGTTCAATCTCGTTACCGGCAAGTCTCTTTACTCGTTCTGTAATACATCATCTCGCAACTAACTCATTAGTTGCATTGCTTGCAAGGCTTAAGTGATGTGCATTACCGAGAGGGCCCAGAGATACCTCTCCAACAATCGGAGTGACAAATCCTAATCTCGAAATACGTCAACCCAACATGTACCTTTGGAGACACCTGTAGAGCACCTTTATAATCACCCAGTTACGTTGTGACGTTTGGTAGCACACAAAGTGTTCCTCTGGCAAACGGGAGTTGCATAATCTCATAATCACAGGAACATGTATAAGTCATGAAGAAAGCAATAGCAACATACTAAACGATCGGGTGCTAAGCTAATGGAATGGGTCATGTCAATCACATCATTCTCCTAATGATGTGATCCCGTTAATAAAATGACAACACATGTCTATGGTTAGGAAACATAACCATCTTCGATTAACGAGCTAGTCAAGTAGAGGCATACTAGTGACGTTTAGTTTGTCTATGTATTCACACAAGTATTATGTTTCCAATTAATACAATTCTAGCATGAATAATAAACATTTATCATGATATTAAGGAAATAAATAATAACTTTATTATTGCCTCTAGGGCATATTTCCTTCAATTGCAGGGGCTAGATTTTTGGGAAATATTTTACCGGGAGAGTAATCCTTTTTTATTTGGCCTATGTGGTCCTGTAACAATTGGAACTATGTTCTCCTCCTTATTTAATGAGATGAGGCAAACTTTTGCCTCCGTTTCAAAAAAAAGTTATTATGCTCAATTTTGTATTATATCTTTTATATGTTGTACAATTAGTATTATATGGTGCTAATATACACCAAAAACAAGGCTTTAGGATAAAAAAATACTCCCTTCGTATCAAAATATAAGACATTTTTGGTGGCTAGTTTAATCTACAGAAAACGTCTGATATTTTGGTATAGAGGTAGTACTAACTCTTGAAATTTTGAATACACGGTCTTCAAATCCTATCTATACCATCAGATGATATTTGAGTGTCAGCCCATGTAAGAGCGAGCACCAAATGCAGCCCATTTGGCTTTGCACTATATTTGTCTATCTATATGATGATATATCAGTATTTGAATTGCTCGAAGCTCTTGCTACTCAATGGCTTTGCACTCTAACTTAATGAGGTATGGAAGTACGATATCGTTATTCGGACAGTATGAATCAAACACATTTATGATATGAAACCTTAGTTTCGTCATTGCAATTCTGCATGACATTGTCGCAACTTCAGATTGATCTCGTCAATGCCTTTTCTCTCGACAAGTGGAATCCTTCCACCTTCCTCTGCCAGAACGAATGATCCTTTTTCTCTTGCTATTTGGCAATGCATTATAATTCTTTGATGAATTGCTAACATGCCGAGATTGATTGTAATGCAAGAGTTATCCTGAGGAATTTGTTTATCAATTACTAATAACACAAAAATATGAAACAATTTAAATGTTTATTTATGGATAGATGCACTGCAAACATATGAACATTGTTTGCCAAAAGAACGCACGACTGTACTTTCTTATTAGTCTATGTCTATCCCCTCATGGTTCCTAACAATATTTTCATCTTTTGCCACTAATTTTTCTGTAATTAGGCTAAGACACTTATCCTTCTGGTGCAGAGACAGAGGGTCTTAACCTCCTTTCCAAAAAAAAAGAATAGTAAATATCATTGAACTTCGGTCATGTATTTTTTTTCACCAGAAAACAAATGGCAATTTGTAGCCAGATGTCTTGCCATCCTTTCTTAATAGTTCTCTCTGATTCGAGAACCAATATAAAATCAATGCCCGTCTTAAAGCACGACAATCATATGACATCTTGGATAATCTAAATTGTTAAGTGTATCAATATGAATCAATGGCCGTCTTGAAGCATGAAAATTATATAACATGTCGGATGCTCCATTGATAGTCCGTAGCAACACCGGTATTTAGCTGGTCCAAGTAAACAAATAAGTCAAAAGATCGATGAAGCCAAAAGCAAACAAATAAGTCAAAATTATACGGCGAGGAGTCACGCATGTTCTCATTGCATTAGCATGTTGCCCTCCGTGCTTGCATCTTGCGGACCAGCTCATCGATTGGTAGTTCGTTTTTTTTAATTGGTAGTTCGTTTATTCCACTAATCACTATGCATACCTACACTGATACATATAGTATATACAACATTGTTTAATTATGTATGCAAGATTTCCTACGCATCGCATGTTTGTAATACACAAGGCTGCTCGTATGCTCCGTTACTGATTTGTTTCATGAATCTTCTGCCCCATGCATTCGCTCACTGTAATTCTAGTTTTCCCCCGAGCGCCGCCACCCTCGTCTGCCTCCCCTCGCCGCCGTCGCCGGCAGCCTTCCAGCCGGCCCGCGGCGGCGGCGGCGGGACCCCTTCCACCTCCTCCTCCGTCCATCCCCGTGTTGGTCCCCCTCCTTGCTCGCCCGCCTCGTCCTCGGCGGCGCGAGGCTGCGTGGTGATCGCCGCCGCCGGATTCGTCCTGGTGGTCTCCCCGCGGGCTGGGGCCTTGCCTCCTGCCGCCGGCCGGCCTGGGGAGCAGGCCTGGCCGTTGCTGGTTGCTTCCCCATCCGGTGGGCTGCTTCCTCTGCTTGGAGCGGCCAGATCTGGATCATGGTGTTGGGGTGCTTGGAGGGGGTTGGTCTGGGATGGGGCCTCGGAGTGGTGCTCGTTGCGGTGGCTGGAGTGGCCGGCTTCGCGCGAGCTGCTCGTCTCTTCGGAGATGGGTGAGCATGGCTCTTTGGATCTGGGGCGGCGGCCCTTCTGGCGAGACTCCTTTGGCTTGACAGGTGCTCGTTGGTGCTGGCCGTTCTTCCTCGGCCACGGGGGCGGCAAGGCGGCGGCAGGTGGCAGCTGTGGTGCGGGCGTCTCGGCGGTGCCTGATCCAGATCTGAAGCCTCCGTCTACTTCAACTAGGGCTGCCTCTGATAGTCCTGCTTTGGGCGGCCTTTGTCGCTGAAGTTGTACCTGTTTGGCGGCCGGAGGTGGGAGGTGGCTCCGGAGAAATCCGAGGCCAGCAGTGCTGGTCACGACGGCGGCAACGCCCAAGGGCGCCGTACCCTTCTTGTAGGCGCCGTCCAGGTTGCCTCCTTCCCCTCTTCCTTCCATCCAGCTCGTATGCCCAGATGTGTAGGAAACGATGGAAAAGAGTTGTATTAGTCTTAAAAGAGAGCGCATTTGCTAAACGTCAGGTGCCTTTTCAGATACCTAACGTATAGGCGGTCCCAAAAGAGACTTGGTAATCGATGAAATGCAACTGGATCCTTATTGAAGAAGAAGAACGTGGTACTCCCTACATTTCCTTATACAAGACCACTATCAAAAATATATTTTGCATTAATACAAGGCCACCAACAGTAAAAAATGTGGTACACTTCATCGTGTCCCTGCCTGATTAGTGCCTTCTACAGGTAAGTTATTTTTCTCCTTCTGGATAAGGCCCTCCAAATAAAGTTGGTAGAAGTGTTCGGCCATAAGCCAGAGGATGGTTGTCAACTCGCCGCCACCGTTGAGCTTCTCGGCATGAGCCTTCCTGCTGCATTTGTTGCTTGCATAAACAAGAATGTCCGTCCACACATCAAGGACAAGTTTCACCGAATCGACCGTGCCATCTTCCTCCATCGTTAGCAGGTGCTTGGCAAGTTTAGCTACATAGGGGAGTCGAGGAGCGTCATGGCTGAAGCCTTTGGTCGCATACTCATCGCATAGGATTTTCGCAAGCTCCTCTCTGTCGGCGACCCTGGAACTAGAACTGGGGTCGTCGTGCAGGCAAAATAGATTCTTGAGCTTAGCACAGAGGTTCATGCGTTGGCGCCTAGAAGTCGTCGACCGTCTAGTTTTCACAAGATTTTCACAGGTTCGTTGATACAACCTGTTCTGGGAGAGGCCTGGCAGCATGTCGGGTTGTTCCACAAGGAGGAACATCATGTAGTTGGATATCACCTTGATCGCCTGGACATCGAGCGATGCATCGTCGTCCTTGGCCCGCTGGCTCTTAGCGAGGAAAACATCGCTGCCGATGTGCCAGATGATGATGCACTCCTGGAACTCCACACCGAGCGAGTCTTTGAGTATGCCATGGAATAGATCCTCGCGAACCAGCGGCTCCTCGCCCCACCTGTTCCTGAGCATGCCTAACGAGTTCACACCCCCTTCCATGTACATTTTTGTCATGTGTTTAGAGATGCAATCCTTGACATGGTTGGGCATCTCAATGGCCCATGAGTAGTGCTCCCTGTTCCACCACTCGTTGAGTCCCAATCCCACCATCTTGGCAAACTTGCCGAGCAGAGGCCTTGTGCATAATCCAATGTCGGTGTCCAAGCGAGTGCAAAAATGCAGCATGTTGTACTGCCCCATGGTACGTGACCACCTTCTTGATCTGTACCGGCTTCCTCCTCCTACCCTCATAAGATGGTGAAGATATGCAACCAAACGTCTAAGTCTGTCCCACCTTTCATTGCACAGAGCTGCGTATCGAAGCCAGCGCCATCTTGTGGTACTCAGGAAGGCGAATGTCCAGGAGGAGCCTAGCGCGTTCAGCAGCGATGTCGTCTCCATGAACAAGGCACCACCATACAAGACATAAGTGATGACGACGTCAACTAAGCGGTGGGCGTCCTTGCCAATGAGCTTAAACAGCAGCAGTGAGCCGACAATGGGAACGGTGAGATGAGACGTACCGTGTAGCCGAACCAGGTGTGGATGACCGGCGCCTTGGTTTTTTTTTCGAAAAGGGGTTTACCTCAGCCGCTGCATCAGAATGATTCATACGTCTCATATTATTAAAAACATAATCCAGTAGCAAAGTCGCCAAGTATCGAGATGCGAAAATAAACAAAAAGCTCGAAAGAGCTACAACCCAAAGCCACAACCGGCTGGCAAACACAATAGGAGCACTACATGCCTATCCTATTACATGACCGTCATCCAAACCGGTTGAAAATATCCTGCGCTACCATCTCCCATCGGGTAAACGCAGTAACCAAACGCTCCCTGGCCTCCGTCGGAGTAAGTAGTGACCACATACGGATGAACGCCGTGGCCCTGAAGATAACCTGCAAAAAGTGAATGTTTGTTGATCGGTTAAAAACTAAATCATTTCTGCAGTTCCATACTGCCCAAAATAAAGCACAAACGCCAACACGAATGTGTTTTGCAGTATCGGAATCAACTCCGTCAAGCCATGCTCCAAATAACATGTTGATAGAGGTGGGCTGATTAATATTAAACGCAATATGAATCGACCGCCACAGAATCTTAGCCAATGGACAATCGAGAAAGAGGTGTTTGATGTTTTCGTTATGATCGCAAAAGCTACACCTAGAAGAGCCCATCCAGTTGCGTCTTGCCAGGTTATCCTTAGTCAAAATGACTTGTTTATGCACAAACCACATAAACACTTTGATTCGTAAGGGAACCTTTACTTTCCAAACGTGAATCGAAAAAGGGACAACGCTAGAGTTAATGACATCCAGATACATAGATTTAATCGAGAACACACCGTTTTTAGTAAGTTTCCAATACAGCCGATCTGGTTGTTGGGACAGCCGGACCTCCATCAAACGTCTAACAAGGTGGAGCTAGGCCTCCCAATGATTTCCAACTAGCGTCCTCCGAAAACTAATATTGAGGGGAGTGGATTGTAAAACAGTTGCAACGTAGGCTTCTCTACGTCGCACAATGTTGTACAAAGTAGGATATTGAAGTGCAAGGGGAGTCTTCCCAAGCCACGTATCCTCCCAAAACCTCGTAGTGGCACCATTCCCGATAATAAATTTTGACTTGTTGAAAAAAAGTTGTTTGACTCTCATCAAACCCTTCCAAAAAGGTGAGTCGGAAGGCCTCACGTTTACCTGGGCCAAAGTTTTAGCATAAAGATACTTATTGCGCAAAATATGTGCCCAAGTAGCGTCCGTCTCATACGATAGTTTAAATAGCCATTTGCTAAGGAGACATATGTTTTTGACTTCTAAATTTTCAATACCTAGACCCCCTTGGTCCTTCGTCCTACAGATTATATCCCACTTAGCGAGCCTATACTTTCGTTTGAGCTCATCATTCTGCCAAAAGAATCGAGATCGGTAAAAATCTAACCTTTTTCTGACTCCCACCGGAACCTGGAAAAAGGATAAGAGAAACATAGGCATACTGGTAAGGACCGAATTAATCAGAATCAATCATCCTCCGTATGACATGAGCTTCTCTTTCAAACAACTCAGTTTCTTTTCAAAGCGATCCTCGATGCATTTCCACTCAAAGTTAGTCAGCTTACGATGATGAATGGGTATACCTAAGTACTTAAACGGTAAGGAGCCCAATTCACATCCGAACAATTGTTTATACGTGTCCTGGTCATCCGTTGCTCTTCCGAAGCAAAACAGTTCGCTCTTGTGGAAGTTAATTTTGAGACCAGATAATTGTTCAAATAAGCATAACAGCAGCTTCATGTTTCTTGCTTTCGCCAAGTCGTGCTCCATAAAGATGATAGTATCATCAACATACTGAAGAATGGAAATCCCTCCGTCAACTAGATGTGGGACCAGGCCGCCTACCTGCCCTACATCCTTTGCCCGACCTATTAAAATAGTCAGCATATCCGCCACTATGTTAAACAGGATCGGTGACATCGGGTCTCCTTGCCTTAGCCCCTTGTGTGTTTGGAAATAGTGACCTATGTCGTCATTCACTTTAATCCCTACACTCCCTTTTTGCGTAAAGGAGTCAATCTGGTTTCTCCAGGCTGAATCAAAACCTTTCATACGCAAAGTTTGTTGAAGGAAAGGCCATTTAACTTTATCATATGCTTTTTCAAAATCCACTTTAAAAACTACGCCATCAAGTTTTTTGAGTGGATTTCATGGAGCGTTTCATGCAAGACAACAACCCCTTCAAGGATATTTCTATCAGGCATGAAAGCAGACTGGGACGAATGAACCACAGAATGCGCAATCTGCGTAAGTCTGTTTGTCCCGACCTTGGTGAAGATTTTGAAACTCACATTAAGCAGGCATATGGGTCTGAACTGCTCAATGCGAGCAGCGTTTGTCTTCGTAGGAAGAAGAGTTATCATTCCAAAATTCAGCTTAAACAACTGAAGTTGTCCCTCAAAAAACTCATGGAACATGGGCATCAAATCTCCCTTAATAAAATGCCAGCACTTTTTTGTAGAACTCCGCCGGGAACCCATCCGGTCCTGGAGCCTTGTTATTCTCCCTTTGTGCAATAGCTTCAAACACCTCTTTCTCAGAGAAAGGAACAGTCAGGAGCTCATTCTCGGCAGTCTCAAGTTGAGGAACATCCTCAACCCTAGACTCATCTAAGGACACAAAATTCTCTTCCGGGGGACCAAACAACTGCTTATAATAATTGGTAATATAGACTTTCAGATTGTCTTGACCAACTATCGTCCCCTCGTCTTGTTCTAGCTAGAAAATTCTCTTTTTACGATGCTTCCCATTAGCAATCATATGAAAGAATTGAGTATTGTCCTCGCCTTGTACTATCTTGCGAACTTTAGCTTGCAACGCCCACTTCAATTCCTCCTCTCGAAGAAGCTGTTTAAGACGCTTCTCCACCTCTATCTTTGTCTCCAACTCACTGGAATCCAAGATAGATGTTTCAGCTTTAACTTCAAGGTTTTGAATAAGTAGAAGAAGTCTCTCCTTCTTCGCCCTATAAATACCATGCGTGTGCTTAGCCCATCCTCGAAGGAACCTTCGGAGATGACGAATCTTGCATTGCCATCGCTCGATAGGTGTCCTTCCTCCTGAGTCTTTAGCCCACTCCCGAGCTAACAACTCGAGGAACCCTTCTCTTTCAAACCAGGCAAGTTCAAAAGAGAAAATGTTCTTGTTGCCCACAAAAGTTTGATCTCGTGAATCGACTAGTAATGGTGTATGATCAGAGACACCTCTTGTCAGTGCTTGCACGGTTACCAAAGGAAACTTCTGTTCCCATTCGACACTGGCTAAGACACGGTCAAGTTTCTCAAACGTCGGGACCGGTAACGAATTAGCCCAGGTGAATTTCCTACCCGAAAGCTCTATCTCTGTGAGATCCAAGCTTTCGATAATAGTGTTGAACATAAACGACCAGCGGCCGTCAAAATTGTCATTATTCTTTTCGTCCTTCCTACGGATAATGTTGAAATCCCCCCCTACTAAGAGGGGGAGCTGTTCGTTACGACAAATACGAACCAAATCCGCCAAAAAGTCTGGCTTGAGCTCTGGTTGCGCAGCTCCGTACACCGCCACCAAAGCCAAATCAAACCCATCTGCCTTAGTTCTAACTCGAAACTTGACAGCAAAATCCCCCAAAACTACACTCCAAACTTCCAATGTTTCGCACTTAACCCCAAGTAAAACCCCACCGGATCTTCCTCGAGGGGGGAGGCAATGCCAGTCAAAATCTACCCCCCGGACAAAGTGGCAAGAAATTGTGAAGTGAAGTTGCTTCTTCCGGTCTCCGACAATGCAATAAAATCCAAATGATGTTCGAGAGAAGCCTCCGCGAGAAATCTTCTTTTAGCCAAGTCCCTAAGACCTCTGCTATTCCAGAAAATGCCTCTCATAATTCATCATGAATTTTTTTTGCAGTGCGGATCCTAGCACTCCTACGTGCTGCCGAGACGGGATAAACCTTCCGTTTCCACGTCCGTTTTGGCTTAGGGATACCATCAACGCGATCAGCACGGTCATTCTCTGCTTCTAGTGCCTCGGGCTCGTCTACATGAAGAGACACCTCAGGAATGGTGTCCTCCTCCGTCTCGTGTAGTGCAGGGTCAAGATCGGCACACAAGCCATCAAGAACCCTAACCCCAAGCGCATCTATCTCCGAGTCGTTCATAGGTTTAACAGCAGCAATGTGCCGGATCATGTCTACCGCACGATCAGCTTCCAAATCAAGAATGTCATTAACCGACCTAGATATCTCAATATCATTATTACCAAGTGAAACTCCTATTTGATTTGCATTATGAATAATTTCAACATCAGTAAAATGCAAAATGGAATTGGACTTATTAACGGACATACCAGTGAAGGTCTCGACGTCGCGCAGCTTGGCAGCTCTCAAAGCACACCTCAGCTGCATGTCATCAATGTCCGACTGCTCCTGCAGCCTCCCGCTGACCTGCCTCCCCTGGGAGACAGGATCCGGGATACCGCCAAAGGCGATGACCTCCTCGCATGAAGCTCTGCTAGGGGAAAGGCCTCCTGCCCGTCCCCCAACAGCGGCACCCCGGGCCGTAGCCACCGGGGCAGGAGAGCAGCACGGCGACGACTCCCGTGGCCTGTCCACGGTCGACCCGCCGGCAACAGGGCCCGGGGATACCCTCGCAGGGTGCTCCGAAGAAGAAGCCGGTGAGGCGGGCGCATCACCTGACCCGCCCATGGCAACGGGGCATAGAGTGACGGCGGCCTCCTGCCGAGCCATCCCTCCTACCGCGCGCGACGACCCGGGGGAGAACGCCGAGTCCTCGGTGTGCGCCGTCGGTGTCGTCATCACAGGAGAACGGGCCTCCTGCCCGTCACCTTTAGCCATAGCCGCAAGCACATCACCATCCACGGTAGTCAGCAGCGAGGTAGGAGATGTGGGAGGGGCCACCTGCCCCTCGGTATCTCCCAACTCAAGAACTGCCGGCGCACAAAGGGGAGCCACGGAAACCACGGAACCCGGATAGACGCCCCGAAGCCGAGGCGGAGCAGAGAACGATCCCAAGGACCCAAGCTGCAAGGTGGACGTCGGAGCCACACCAGATGACCGAGCAGGAGCAGTATCACTAGAATCAGTCGGACCGACCGGCTCCTTGGCCCCGTCATCATCACCCATAGCCGAATCATCCTGGTTCCCCGGGGCACCTCCTCCCTCATTCGTGTCCATAGGAATATCATCCTCAAACTCATCGAACAAATTAGGATCCTCATACAGAACGTCCAGCTGATACAGAACACCATCGTACGCCCAAGGCACCACGTTCAGCAAGAACTCAATATTAGCCACACTGACAAGTAAACGCGCCACCCCGTTGGCCCGAGTGAATGGCATATCCACCTGTTCAGTCTTACCGATCAGAGACCCCAAACTCCACGTCACCAAGAAGCTATCCAGGGGATCAGATGGCGCCCCAGAGAAACGAACCCAAATCTGCCTCAATGGCGTGCCCTGCGGCTCTTTCTTTTTCCATTCATCAAACTGCAACACAAAACTAGTGCCTGGGACCCTGCTCATACCAAACTTGAGGATTCGCAACTGATCCTCCTTAGACGGAAAATCAACTTTGTAAGACGTATCATTTAGCTTGAGCAGCGACCACTGAAAATTACCCGGAGCGAGTTCCCGCAGCTGCTGAATAATTTGCGCCTCGGTCAATGGTCCATGAACTACCTTCACCACCCCTGGGAAAGAGGTCTCTACCGCTGGTGCCAGAGGTGCCACACTGGGAGACTCGAAGAACATCAACTCCGAGCAGCAGACCCCGAAAATCTGAACAGTAGGCTTGGGCCCAAGCATAAGAGGGCACTCGGCAGCGGTATGCTTAGGTTTCCGGCACAGGTCACATAATTCCGCAGTGCACTCAGCCATAAAGTGTCCCGTATCACCACATCGAAAACAAGTAAGTTTCTTCTTCTTTGCCGCCCACTTGGACAACTTGCCAGCCTCAGATTTGTCCGTACCATGCTCAGAAGCAGAATCACCAGTCTGCATGGGTTCCGGCACTGTGACTTCGGCCAGGGCCTGAACCGTTTCCGCCGCCACCTGCGGTAGAACCGATCCTACGTCAGCCCCCACCGCAGTCTCAACCGTAGGCTTCAGATGCCTAGGCGGGTAGTTACGTCTGTGCCCGCCCCGACCTCCACGGAAACGGCCCCGGAAGGAGCGGTTATTAGGAGCGACCGCCCCCTCCACAAAGTTACCGGGCGGACCCTGAAAGCCCTGGTTGGCATTGCCGTCGTCCGTCCAAGCATGACCCCGGCCACCGCCGGAGGATGAAGAACCCCGATGCAGTCCAGCACCGTAGGCGTCGTAACCGTCATCGCCCCACCTACCTCGCGGGGGATTCCGGTCCTCTCCCGGCGACGCCGCAACCCCACGGCCGAGCGGGCCTTGTCCAGGGCCACCGCGGCCGGCCGTCATTTGCCGCGGCCACGGCCTTTGGGTCGGCTGCGGCTCAGCTCTAGGGGGTAGCTCAGCCCTAGGCTGGTTCGGCTGCGGCTCCGCCCTAGACGGAGGCGGCGGAGCAGCCCTAGGCTGCAGTGGCGGCGAAGGCAAAGCCCGGGTCGGCGGTGGAGGAGGCGCCGCCCGAGGCGGCGGCGGATCCGCCCGGGGCGGAGGTGCCGCACGCGCGGGACCCGACGCAACAGCGCCCGCTGCCGGAGTGGCCGATCCACCCGTGGCCCCGGACTGGCCTCTCGCCATTGGAGGTACCCGCGGCGGCGGCGGCTTGGGCGGCATGGCTTCCCGTCGAGAGACAGGAGGCAGGCGCCGTTCGACTCCGGCCAAGCTAAGCGAAGAACGGCGCGAGGGGGCCGAAGGAAAACCCACACGCCCGCGGCGCCTAACCCTAGCAGAGACAAGCGGAGGGAGGAGGGGGGTACGTGCATGCAGGGGCGATCGATCCAAGGCCACCTCATGCACGTCGCTAACCCCCGCTGCGTCGTTTGCCTGGCCAGCCCCCTGGGCCTCAAGCCCAGTATCGACCAGGCCTACATCACAAGCACCCACAGGCATCCCAACTGAGCCCAACAACTCATTCAAACGCTCAGATCTAGCCGCCCGAATGTCACACGGCACGGCCACCGCCGGCGAGCTCTGTGACACCATCGGACCACGTTTTTTCTTTCGCCGAGTCACTCTCGTCCAACACTCGGGACGGAAAAAATCTGACAAAGTGATGACCGACGGCACATCCTTTGGCAACGGACCCTTCCATGGTTTCACCTTCGACTTCTGCAAAAGAACTGAAGCATCCGACGAACTCGACTTCTTAGCACTCATCTTAGTTTTAGATCCCGAGGTAGATGTAGGCTCAACAACGGTAGATGGTAGCCGCACCGGCGCATCCGGCAGATCCTCATCATCGTCTTCTTCATCATCAGCTAGTATCCAAAAACGCCCCCCAACCCGCTGTGCAGGCTTGGGTTTCTCGGCGTCCGTCGTAAGATCCACGAACTCAATTTGCTCATCGCATTCTCTGGGTGCCTGCACACACTTAAGAACTTTGATATTTAAAATATCAATAATAAAACTCTTACCAACAGCAATATCTTCGCCGGCGTAGAGATGTCGTCCGGCTAAAATGTCTCCTTCATTGCGGATCGTCATCCACCGGGACGGGTGCGAGTAGATTAGGCCATTGATCCAGCTCCCGGCACCTCTTTCGTCCCCGTCCGCCGTCGAGACTCCATCAATCGCCTTGGTGTATAGCATGTCGTACATAAGGGAGAGCTCGGTCTCCATCAATCGCCAAAACTTGACCCGGGCCACCATTCTGGTGGTGTCGTGGCCGTGTGAATCATCTTCGATGACCGGACAATCAACTATGGCACGCTTGCAGATGTGGAAGAGCGAGTGTGCTCGTCGCACAAGGGATTCCTCGTCCAACACTCCATCCTTGAACACTTCATCATGGGGGTGGAAATGTCTATGCATGGCAGGTGGTTGCTTCTTGACGGATCCCCGGATGCTGTCCAGGTTGCCCCGCATGAGCGCCCATGTCTTCTCGCCGTACTTGACGGCACCGACGGCGAACATCAAAATAGAGGCAAGCCGGAGCAACGCGCCCCTTGCCGAAATATGCTCATAGAGGACATACACGGCTCCCAAGACCTGAAGCATGGCATGTAGCAGGTGGCGCTTCCAGAGCTTGCTGTCCTCCAGGGAGTAGGCGGTGATGTTGTCCGGGCCTCCGAGGTGAAGCAGGAGGAACGGCGCCCAGAACGCGACGATCGGGTGCTCGCGTGGCGCGCCCTTGAGGGAAAGGTGGCCAAGGGCGTACGTCGCGGTGTAGTCGGCCAGCTGGTACGCCAGCCAGAGCAGGAACCGCAGCACACGATGGGCTCCACGCCTGCGGATCCCGGCGAAGAGGAAGAGGGCGAGCTGGAGGCCGAGGCTAAGGAGCACCAGGATCTGGATGGACCAATTGTTCCAGAGGTCCCGAGGCCAAGCTGCCATTTCTCTTGTTCCAGCAAGGAACTGTGCTACATGCCTGCCTACAAATCGGTGTTTACAATTGTTGTGCGATTCACAAAATATACTACTGATTAGCTAGGTAATTGTGTTCAAAAAAAAAGCTAGGTAATAGTAGGGATACATTGCGGCTAAGCTAGGCCCGCTGCATAACAATTGACATGTGATGAAGTATACATACCGGCATAAAAAATCAGTCTGGTCTCCGGCTCGATCGAGAAGAAGAGGCCTGAAATGATCGAGAGTCTTGACTCACAACTAACAAGTCGCGAGATTGGGGTAGAAAACTGCTTACTCCATGTGCATAGATATGAGTATGATTCCATGCTTGATGCATGGTTCAAATAAATAATCGACCATGTTCCCGAACCATGTGAGGACGGACGGGTGGATATGTGAATCACACCACAAACCAGCAGACATGACAAAATCCAAAAATCGAAAGCTTTTCTTATAGGGAAAAAAAGGTTTTGGGGCTAATTTGTAGTAGTTGTACCTTCTTCTTTTCGTTTCTTTTTTTTTTTCCAAAAAGTAGTTGTACCTTCTAGTTGGATAAATGAAAAAATTTGTCAATGCCAAGTTGGCATACCCCAATATATTATAAGACACTTGTAGATTGGATCACCGTTGCCTTTGCATCATCGATGCACCCAACCTATTACTCCCTCCGTTTCTTTTTAATTCGCATATAAGATTTGGTCAAAGTCAAACTGTATAATGTTTGACTAAATTTATATAAAAAAATATGAACATCTACAATACTAAAACTATATAGTATGAACATACGTTTCATGATGCATCTGATAATATTGATTTAACATTATGAATGTTTATGTTTTTTAATATAAAGTAGTCAAACTCTATAAAGCTTGACTTTGATCAAACCTTATATGCGGACTAAAAAGAAGTGAAGAGAGTATTATCGAAAGTGCTCTGGACACGATGGTCCACACACGATCCAGGCCGATGCCTACTTTGAACGGCGGTGATTAGTTAAATGATGCAACCCAATGACTAATTCGACCCGTGTGTAGATCGGGCACAAGAGTGTCGTTTGTATAGCAATTCTTATATTATTACTAAGTTTTAAGGTCCAAAATTTCAGAAATGTGTACAAAAGGCCAGAAGGTTAAAATAACTGAAAGATAATAAGATAACATATCGCACCATGCTACATCGATCTTACTAGTGGATCGCCATCCAAAGCAGTTGAATATAGTCCTGCTACCGTTTTCTCATTGGCTGCAAGCAAAGTTCATAGATGCTCGCGCCTTTACATGTCGTGTCGGACAACATACGGATCTAGGTAACCTTGAGATGTTCAGATGGTAGGTACGTCTGAGCGCGATGTGATCCCGAGCTAGGGTCCTCCCCAAATTCAATCATTTTTTATCAAATTTCAACATTTTGGAATTAGCTTATATTCGACTACCAAAAGTTTCCAGGCTCATCATTAGGGTTGTAATGGCATAGTCCGCCGGGGCCTTTGAAACTGTCTCGATCCGGTGGAGTCAGCTTGGGCATTCGGTATAAACCGAAACTTCTGTTATTAATTTTGGTATTATTTTTTTGATTTTGATTAGCACCGATGATAACCGAAAATGTCATCAAAAATGAAAATTGAAAGTTCGGTTAACATGCTATTACGGTTCGGTATTCAGTTAATAGCAAAATGATCATTCAGTTGCACACATTTAACCCCTTGCATCCCACACTATTATATAGCCGACCTCTACTCCTGTCCTATGTAACTAGGCGAGGGGGGTGCGAACTTATGGGGCCGCTTTAAAAACACATATTTGCAAGCTGTATGGAAAAACAAAATTCCGCCCAACAACAAAATTGGCCCATCGGAAAATAGATATTTGTCTTTTTTTTGTATGGCACGTATGAAAGTAAAAGTTAATTTTTTTTAACACAGTATAGACACAACGGCTCATATATACATGCATACACTCACGCCTATGAACGAACACATGCATACCCTATCCCCATGAGCACCTCCAGAGGGACTGAGCTGTCATGTCATCTTGAGATTTTACGAACTCACCGTAGACGTCTCGTAGTCAACAGGAATATCCCCTCCCACTGAACGCGCATCGCTGAAAATCCTGAAATATATCCAGAAAAAATGCGAGCATCAGGACTTCAACTCCGTTGGGCTGGGGATACCACTGTCCTCCTAAAAGTTGTTAAATATTGCACTTATGTAACATATACATGTCTATGTGTGTTTATAAAAAAAATGTTTTTATTCGGTGTTGAAAAAAAGACATTTTGAGAAAATATTTTTGCATTTGAAGCAAATTTATATGGATTTATAAACAGTATAAATAACGTAAAAAAAATTGTGTAGTATCAAAAAGTTTTGTACCATTTAAAAATGTAGAACATGTAAAAAATGTAAAAACATGTATACAAAAATGTAAATATTTTATTAAAAAAGTATAGATAAAAGGTATATTTAATAAAAATGTTAAGCATGTACTTGAAAATGGTTAAAGGTGTAGGCAAAATGTTCCTTCTGTATAAAAAAATATAATATGTATGAAAATGTAGACATCAAAAGATATATCTGAAAAAAATGTTTATCATGTATTTGAAAAATGTCAATCATGTGACGAAAAATGTTTCTTATGTATAGGGAAAATGTATAATCTGTATGAAAAAACTAGACATCAAAACATATATGTAAACAGTTGTTAATCATGTATTTTAAAAATTAATGAGTCTAATAGAATGTTCCTACTATATACAAAAAATGTACAATCTGCATGAAGAAATTTGACCACAAAAATTATATTTTATAAAAATGCTAATCATTTATTTTAAAATGACAAATATTAAAAAAGTTGTTCCTGTTATGCACAGAAAATGTACAACAAACATTAAACAAAATAATACATAAAGAATAATTGAATTATGTCTTGAAAGTTCTTAAATGTATAGAAAAATGTTCCTGATCTATAGAAAAATATACATTGTCTGTGAAAAATGTTCTATTGCCATAAAAGATCTTTCACCGTCTACCTGAGAAAGTATTGACCATGTATTTAAGAGAAAATGTGCATCATGTATTTAAAAAATGTTCAACATGTATCGACAAAATGTTTCATGTGTACACTAAAAATGTACATTCTGCACTAAGTAAACTAGACATGCGTTCAACAAATAAGTAAAGGATGAAAACATACAAGGATGCAAAGAGAAACGAAGAAAACCAATCAAACCGACAAACAAATAAAAACAAAAAGAAAAGGAAAATCCAATAAAACCAATGAAAAAGTATGGAACTAATGGAAAGCAAGAAATAAACACAGAAAAAAAGAAACACAAAAAAGAAATGGAAACCAAAGAGAAAAGAAAGAAATGAGGAAAAAACAAGAAGTAATCATAAAAAAATTAAAAAAATTAACAACAGAAAAAGAAACGAAGATTTTACCGGTAAAAAAGGGGAAGGAAATAAAAAAATCGAAGTATAACAAAGAAAAAACTAAAAAAATGGGTGAAAACGAAAGAAAACCAAAGGAAAAGTCAAAAATCGAACACCAACGAAGAAATAAAGAAAATTAAATAAATAACAAAAGAGAAGGAAAAAAGGGAAAACCAAAGCGAAGAACGAGCGAAGAAATCACGAGCGAGCAAACGAATGGGTTGGCCAAGTACTGTAGCGCACATGGGAATCTTTCAAGCAAGAGCTCCTTACGTCTCACTATAAGCGAGATATAGCTCTGGCGGCACGCATGCAGAGTCACGATTTGCCGCGCGATACTTCGTCCTAGCGCATGGGAGAGCAAGCTCGTTTGACTGTTCATTCAGGGGTCGACGTCTTCACGTATTCTCGGTTTTTCATTCTTTTAACCTAGATAATACGAAACCGACCGAACTTAGTTTGGTTAGCATGTCGACAAACTAAAAAAATTGTATCATTGAAAATAACCAAAAAAATTTGGTTTGTTTGGTTTCTGGATCGGTTTGATCTTCGCTTTGTTGTTTTTTATGCCCACCCCTATGGTTGAGGCACTACACTTGGCAGAGGTGCTTGTGCTTGATGCCAAGTATCGACCTATGTACCTCCCATCATTCCAACATCGCATGTCCCTAATTTAATGGTGACGACTGCCATTTGTACACGCAAGCTTAACTTTTTTTTAAACTCCACCCATATATTAATTAATTAACACAAATGTTCATAAAATCATTCCTTAAAGCTTTTGCCACACAGGGCGGAACACTATTAATAATAATACCATCAGACCTATTTAAGAAACTAAATTTTGTAATCTCATGCGCCATCATATTCGCCTTCCCGTTTATCTTGGTGATTTTTAACATACTCGTCATCTTGGAGACACTCAACGCTTCCTTCTTCAAATCAACAAGGTTTGACATGTCCAGATCATCATTTGCAAAAACAGGGGCCACGAAAGAGCAGTCAGTTTCCAAAATAATGGGCTTGTGAAGAGTGATACCGATGTAAAGACCTGAGATGGTCGCTCGAAGTTCCGCTTCCTCCGCACTAGAGCACCTACCAATATAATCCCAAGAGGAGATAAGAACTTCTCCAATATGATTTCTGACAACCACCCCTACGCTCGCGGCGCTAATGGTCTCCACAAAAGTTGCATCAACATTAATCTTGAGGGTTTCCGATGTGGGAGGCAGCCAAGGAACACAGTTCCTCTCCACATTACTACTGGGTTGTAATCCATGGATCATACCCTTACCTTTGTTACTTACCTCTACCTTCGTGATTGCATGACAAGACGAGAAAGATGCCCACTAATTTTGAATAAAACTCACTCAGGCCGAGATAGATTCCTTTCCTTTACAAAGATCAAGTCATTTCTCAAATGCCAAGCTCTCCAGAACATGAATATGGTTTGCTCACGCATAGGCGAACTTAACTCATCTAGCAAAATAAATAACCAGTCCGGCCCCAAGCAGTTTCAAATATCTTCAGCCGGCAAATTCCACACCTCCCG